CAACGCCAACTCCTGGAGGACGGCGAAGCAGCTGCTTGCCCACTTGTCAACGCTCGGGGACATCGTGTGTATCCAGGAGCACAGGCTGATCCAAAAGTTCCAAGATGTTTCAGATAGACTCCAGAAACAAAGTTGGAAAGTTTTCGGTACCGAGGGACTCCGACTACCGTCCAAGAAGGTCTCGGGAGGCGTCATGATCCTGGTCAAGGGCCATCTGGAGGCCTGGAGCCCCAACCCTGAACTGGTCCCTGGCCGCCTATGCCATTGCTTTGTCCAACATGGGGCACTGGGGATCCTGAATGTTTTCTGTGCATACCTCCATGACAGTGAGGGGCTCTCACCAAGAAACATAGGCATCCTGGAGGCATTTGGAACTGCGGCTGCAAAAATGGGTTTTCCCTATGTTCTGGCTGGTGATTTTAACGTCTGCCCACACACGATGACCTTAAGTTTCCCACTCCACGTGATCAAGGGGGTGGTGCGGGCCGACCCCACAGCCCCGTCCTGCGTCATGACGATTGACGGCAAGCATTGCGAGTCGACCGTGGATTTTTTCTTGCTGTATCGACATCTGGATGCGGCAGTGCTGACTGTAGACACAGACCTGGACACCACCCTCAAGCCCCACAGGCCCGTGGTCCTCCAGATTGGCACAGACACCCAGGACATCACCATCCAGGTCCCCAAGGCATACCAGAAGATCCCTACAAAGCCCCTCATAGGCCCTCAACAGCAGCACCCGAACTACAACGTGGTCTTAGGAGTCCTTGAAGATTTCTACGAACATCTTGGAGGGGTGGATGCTGAACATGCTACTATTGAAGGGGACCTCAGGGCTAAAGGAATACAGACTCTCAACCAAACATACGCAATGTGGAACGAATTGGCTTGGCGAGAGCTCAAGCAAGTTACAGGTACCAGCCCGACAGGAGTGCATGGTGGCCACCCCATGGAGTGGGAGGAGAAGCCGCTATCTGCAGTCTTGGCCACCAGGACGCGCTCCTTCCCCCAGCCACCTCGTGCCATAGGATGGGTATTGGGCAGGCTAACCGAGATCCGCAGCCTTCGGAACCAGGGCAAAACACCAGGAAAAGACGCGTACCTGGGGACCCTGGTCATGCAGCTTGTCAATACTTCATCCCACGGAGGCCCCTTTAGATCTGCTTGGAAAGATGGGGGTGTTTTTTTGGCACCCAATTTTGCGCAGCTTGGGAGTTATCCTCATGGTGGACCCAGAGGGGGCCAACAACATCCTCACTGATATGATCCAGTTTGTCAAGGATTTCAAAAACTGCGTGTTCTTGTCTGGGGACCAGCTCGATTGGGCAGGATGGAAGGAATGGTGCCAACAGGCGGTCGAGGAGCATGGGGCTCGTGAGGCTCACAGGTTCCTCAAGGGCGTTGAAGTTCCCAAGGCTCACACGAGACCACCAGGGGAGCCCACGAAGACCGAGGTCAAGGAGCTCCTCCACAGTATCTCTATTCGGGCCCGTCTTGAAAACCAAAGAGTGCTATGGAAGAAAGTCTGGTCGGCATCAGATCAACCGCGTGCCCGTTTCGAGTTTGTCCAAGGCGGAATACCAGTAGGGAAGCGCGCTCAGGTGGACACCATTCGTGGGAGTTCACGATGTTTCAAGGACTCCACATGCACGCCAGATGGCTGGCACCCGAAGCACCTCTCGCTCCTCTGCGATGACGGCCTGCTCGTGGTGTCGCTCATGTTCCAATTGATGCAGGTGACGTGCGCTGCCCCAGCTCAGGTTCAAAGGCTGGTGGTATTGCTTGCACCCAAGCCTGACCCGACGGCCAGGCGACCTCTTGGGCACTTCGGAGGCTTTGTTCGTGTGTTTGGGAAGATTCAGAAACAAGCTGCCAAGGACTGGGAAACCAAATATGGGATGGGTGTTGGGTTCTCTATGGCTCCAAGGAGGTCCCCCTCGGACACCGTCTGGAGGCAGGCCGTCATTGCCGAGCACCAAGGGAACTCAGGAGGTTTTTCTCTGCAGGTCCTGTGGGATATTAAGCAGTTTTACGAACATGTGACCTATGACATTTTGGTTCGATCTGCCCAGTATTGCCAGTACCCTCTCTATCTGCTGCAGTTCGCCATAGGGACATACCAATGGCCAAGGCATCTTATGCTGGAAGGTCTAATGGATGCAGCACTGTACCCAGGCCGCGGGATTGTAGCAGGATCCACGACGGCCACCTATGAGGCAAAGGTCTTCCTCAAGCCAGGCGTGGACCGATTCACCACCAATATGTCTGATAGTGCATCCCTCTCCCTCCACGTCGACGACCTCACTCTCCAACAGTGGGGAGACTGCATGGGGTGGGTGGTGGGAGCACTCAAAGAGTTGGCTGAATCGGTCCGTTCGTATTTGGTAAATGATCTGCAGCTCCCGCTCGCCTACCACAAGTTTGGCATCGCTGCGTCGTCGGGGCCACTACTCAAGCTGGGTCGTGTGGCTCTTGGGGACCTCGCTGGAGCTCCTGATGATGGGGACGTCACGAACTTAGGCGTGGACTTCTCGGGAGGCCAACATAGACTCAGGAGGGGCACCAGAAGGACTCGAACCAAGAGATGGGTCAAATACGGGGCTCGAAGGAGTAGGATGACCAGGCTCAAGATCAAATCAGGGCACAGGAACAGGTTGTTTCAGACCAACTTGAAGGCCACACTCACGTACGGAGCTGAAGTTCATGCGTTTAGCCCACACCAGATCAAGGAGATCAGGGCCTCTGCTGGGAAAGACTCTGGGGTCCTCTTCAAAGGGGCACAAGTGGACCTCGGGTGGGCTCTATCGTCGTATCTGGACCCGATCGACATAGCGAGCAGGAGTATAGCCAGGATCGCAGCAGAATGGTGGATGACGACGGCCGTCCACAAGCACGAGCACGTCCACAAGGATGTGCTGAAGCCCGCCCTGCTCAGCAAAGCCTTGCACTCAGCCGCCCGCCACCTTGAGGAGACAAAGGGGAAAAATTGGTTCCTTCGGTCCAGAGGACCAATAACTGATGCCTTACTCTGGTGTGAGGAGGCTGGTTGGAAGTTGTTAAGCCCAGGGGTTTTCCAGGACTCCGTCGGGGACACCCTCAATTTCACCGAGGTCAGCCCTGCGCTGGTGTCCAAAAGATTTGCCACCCAGCTGAAAGATACTTACATCCAGAAATACGTTCGGGGAGTCTGTGAGAAGAACAATTGTGACACGCAGGACCTTGAGACCCGAGGACTGTGGTGGGAACTCATCAAGCAGAGGATGAACTCCACCAAGCTTGGGCTCACGCTCGTAGAAAAGCTTAGAGTGAAGCAGTTGTTTTGTGGAACCCTCCCGACGGGCGAGGCCCTCGCGAGGTGGGGTTTCAAATATAACTCAGCATGTAATAGATGTGGCAGGCTCGACACTGCGTGGCACCGCGTTTGGTCTTGCCCGTGCCCGCGTGCGTCAGCTGTCCGAAGCGAGGTTTTCCCTGGGGCTCTTATCCGGCAAGCCCTGGAAGCTGGCCCAGGGTCTCTCCTTTTCAGCCGTGCCTGGGTTGCCAGGCCCGACCTGTCCACGGAGCCCCCTGCCCAGGACTGGACGCAAGAGTTAAAATTTTTTGGCCCTGAGGGTGTGGAGACGGCGCCGTTTGAATTCCCACCTGGGGCACTGTTGTTTACTGATGGCTCGTGCTTGTTTCCCCAGCTCAAGCCCTGTTCCAGAGCTGGATGTGCAGTCATTCAAGTGAACGAAGATGGCGAGCTGGTCAGAGGCATAAGATCCCCTGTTCCAGGCACGATGGAGCAGACCAGCGGGTCTGCTGAGCACTGTGCCATCATGCTCGCCACTACATACTCAGCTGATCAGTGCCAGTCAGGCGAGATTTTTGTTGACTATGCGACTCTCCTCAAAGCTGTGAGGGCCCACCAATGGGCCCTGTCGGGGGCCAACCCGATGGCCCACGTTTGGCGGGAAGTGGCTCGTTGGCTCCCTGGGGACCCGCCCCGCCTCACTAAGGTCAAGGCCCATAGATCCGAGGAGGAAGTTGCCAGTGACCAGGTTTTCTTTGTGCGAGGGAACAAGCTAGCAGACCACCACGCAGGGCTTGCAGCCCGCGCGCATGCTTTCAGCAATAGGGTCTCCGACGAGTGCACGACCATTCCCAATCTGTACACTACCCTAATTCACGGAATGGGGAAAGTGCTTGGGGAGTGGCCCACGTTCGGGGAGTTGGGTGAGCTGGGGAGGGCGCGTTTGGGTCCCAAGGCCACTCCCAAGCCACGGACCCCGCACGAGCCAGTTTTCCATGAAGGAAAGAGGAGATGCAACCTCTGTTTTAGATATCTGGGCCGCAAGGTTATCTTAAGTCGGGACTGCAATGGTCTGAACCCGTCCCTTGCTGCTCTTCTGAGTGGTCCCAGGAATCACCACAACCTCCACGTGGCTTGGGTCGAGAGCTCTGGGCTGCCTGTTGTTTATTGCTTGAAGTGTGGTGCTTTTACCACGTGCAAGGCGGGCCCAAAGCTACGTGGACCATGTGACGGGAAGGCGTCGTCCGAGAGCAGGAAACTCAAACGGAGGATCCTGCCTGGAACCGGCCTTCCCATTACCAATTCCGTAGCTCTCCCACCCCGAGGCCGTGAACTCAGGGAGGTGAGGAGACCTACGTAAAATTTTTATCCGTGAGTGTACTGTGCTTGTACGGTACACCACCATTCGAGTAACCGAGTAACCGAGGAGGAGGAGGAGGAGGAGGAGGAGGAGGAGGAGGAGGAAGAGAAAGAGGAGGGGGAGGAGGAGGAGGAGAGAGGAGGAGAGGAGGAGGAGGAGGAGGGAAAGGAGGAGGAGGAGGGAGGAGGAGGAGGAGGAGAGGAGGAGGAGGAGGAGAGATGAGGAGGAGGAGGAGGAGGAGGAGGAGGAGGAGGAGGAGGAGGAGGATGATAAGGTGGAGGAGGAGGAGAAGGAGGAGGAGGAGGAGGAGGAGGAGGAGGAGGAGGAGGAGGCGCTTTCTGCCCGCAGGCCGAGGACGACGCGGTGGAGGACTACGTTCTCGCGGTGCTGCTGACCGCGCCGCGTGCGGACGCCGACCTCGCCCGGCGGGTCGGCGAGGTGCCGCTGGACGCCGCCCGCGACCGGGCGGTGGCGCTGCTCGGCGGCCCGACGCCTGGGGAGGCCCCGGCCCCCGACTCGCCCAGATCGGTGCGGCCCCGGCGGTCTTCGGGAACGGTCGGACGGGGCTACTCCACATCCCTCGTGAATCGACCCCCCCCCCATAAAAAACCGGACCCCCCTCCAAGTGCGACCTAATATTCCGGACCCCCCTCTTCGACGGGGCGCCTTGATAAACTGGACCCCCTTAACCCTTAAGCTGCAATCCAAAGAAAGCGCCCTGATAAACCGGACCCCCCAGTTACAAAAAAGGCGCCTTAGAAAGCTGGACCCCAGGGGGGACGAATAATGAGGGACTCGGAGTAGGACGAGGATAATTGTTTCCAGGGTTTCGGAACGCTGCCAAAGCGTTCCAGGGCTCTCCAAGATGGCCGCGGCGCCCGAGACATCCTCCAGAGCCGCCGGGCTTCGGGGATGCTCGATGTGTCCTCGCCCGGTGTTGTCCTCGTCCTGGCTTCTTCTTACACGGACACTGCAAGATAGGACTCTGAAGATTCAAGCCGAAGGGAGCGAAGGACGGGAGAATGCTTCGACCCACGGCTGCAGTTGCCTGCCGCGCGCCAGTATCCTGATTTACCGCCGTCCCCGTTTATGGGGCCCTGGGCACGGTCGTCGGTTTATGGAGATTTTCCTGCCTTGGGATGTGTTCCAGCAGCTGCGCCTCGCTCAGACTGTTCCCAGGGGTGCCCGGGTCGTCCTGGACGGCCGCTGGAGGCAAGAGTTGCGACTCCCACCTCCCTAGACTCCTGTCGGACTTGTTGTGCCAGTCCAGGCACGTTTCTTTTGTTCCAGGGGGGCCGATTTCGGGCCCTTGTGCGATCAAAAATGGATCAGAGATGCAACAGCAAGCTTCGAGTAGGGGAGTGAATGCAGAGTTTATTTACCCCAGAATTTATTTTCTCGTCGAATCTACAAAAAATGCGTAGAATGGTCGTATATACTCTCGCACAATCGACGCGAACATCAACTCTGGGGTAAATGAACTCTGCAGTCGACCCTCTACTCGTAAAACTGCCCCCTTGGAACAGGTCGAAACCCTTGGGGCTGCGCATGGAAGTCTGGGTACTCCCACGGCGACGACCGCCGACCGACGGCCGACGACGGGCGACCGATGACACGCGCCGGCGACGGCAGCGACGAGCACGACGACGACGACGACCACGGCGACGACGACGACGAGAACGACGGCGGCGACGACGACGGCGATGCTGACGACGACGAGCACGACAACGACGATGGCGACGTTTCTAAAGGTTTCGGGGAGCTTGCCAGGACGGACCTTGGGATGGGCCCAGGGGCCTACCTTCGAGCGGATGTCAGTCGGGGTGCGAGGACTGCAGGATCGATCCTCTTGGCACGTTTCGGGTTTCGTCTTCTGGGCCTCCGCAAGCCTCTGGAGGCCTCCCAACAGCTTCAGGGGCCTCTGGAGACCTCGGGGACTTCTGGGGATTTCCAGGGAGGAAGATCGATCTGCCAGCGTGGGCTTCCTGGAGTAAATATGCTCCTCTCCGCCTCATTAAAAATTTAAACATAACTTAGTTTGCATGCGTTGCACTGTCCGCTGGAACTGACAGCTGCGTTCCGCAGCTGTATGACTGCTCGAGCAAACCAACATTGGCTTGCAGGAGAGAAAAGGAGCGCGCTGGGGCGCGCGGGTGGCTCGTCGTCGTCCGTCCTCGGCCGGCCTCCTCCCTTCAGATTCCTGATAGAGTAGTCTTGCTTAGCGGATACTTGTCTTATCAATGTCTCATCCCGTCCCCTCTCTCCCTGAGCAGAGTGAACATGAGATCTTAATTCCTTTGTCATCTTACCCCGATTCTCAGAGGAAAGACTGGTTATCAGCCGAAACGCGCGACTCAGTCGACGCGGGGCCGTCACATACAAAAGAAGATCCTTCAAATGTGCCCCGCGACTCAGTCGCTGTGGGAAAGAGCTATGATAAGACTGACATCGTGTCCAATATCTCGAGAAGCGCCGATAGGCGCGTTGTACAACATGATGGACACGACGCAGACAGAGACGGTCCAGTTCAGGACCGAATCCTTCCTTCATACATCGCCACTCGGGTAGTGAGGGGAAGAAGTGCCGAGGGGATAACCGAGATGTCGGTAGACGTGTCTCCCGCGGGAGCTCCGATCGGTGATCGTGAGCAAACCGCAGACCCGTACGTGCGAGATGGCGTAACATCAAGACCTAGAAGAAGTGCGTTTGCGTCGTGGAGTGCCAAATCGACGGAGCCAATCAGTACAATTCCGAACACTCCACACGCTACGGCTATTGCCACTGGTGAAGCCGGCCGGCCAGGGGAAGTCCAAGGGAATATGAATACGTATCCCACTATCCCGACCGAATGGGTGGGCACGAGTGTCAACGCCCCAATCCCAGGAGCACTTAACGGACAATTCGGTCAGGACAATGATGGCCCAATCGAAAAAGATCACGAAATATATTCCATGGAGGAAGATTTTGATAGCATCAACAATGATATCTCCCTGAGCCGAGCATTGTCCGTGATGATGGAAGAAGACATCCCTGCTCAAGACGAAAGATGGTCCCCGGATGGATCCGATGAGGACACTCGTATCCTGACGCCGCAGGCGGACAGGGCGGAGGCTCAGATGAAGCATGAGAGGGGGTCCACAGGACGAACCCCCGCGCCTCACCTCAAGGCACAACGGAATGAGGACTACGAGCTAAATGTCTCACCACTGAAGGAAGGTTTCTTCCGTAATGCCACCGCCTCAGGTGATTGGCAACCCTCGATTCCAGCTGTCGTTGAGGATGAAGAAATGGTCGGACAACCAGCTACGTATGCTCAGCTAATAATACAAGACGAAAAGGATGAGGAGTTCTTAAATGAGCCTAAACCACCAGAAAGTACTTTCATTCGCCCCAGATCAAATACTTCAAGCAGGGGAAGACCCAAAATACCAAGATCAGGGGCGAGATCTACTTCAAGGAGCAACAGTACAGTTTCCATGGTGGAGGCATGTTGGAACCCCAACCCTGACTGCGCGCCTCAGGCGGAGAGCAGATGCCCAGGAGAAGCCAACAGGCCAGAAGGCGCATGTAGGAACCCAGTGTGCAAGAGTTGCTCGGGCGTTTGCAATAAGTGTAACATGCAATGGCTGTGCGCGGAGTGTTACCCAATGGACGAGCATAACTGCACGTATCTCCTCATGCAGTCTATTCAGGACCAGGCCAGGCTGGCGGAGGCTAACACTCAGAGAGAGTCTCTGACAAATGAAGCGCAGCTGGCCGAAAAGGGCTCGATTGGACAGAGAAGAATTAACTGAAACTGTGGTCGCAGCTAGAAAAATGTTCGAGGCTGAGCGGATCGCTCTAGCCATGGCTGCTAGAGAGCGGGAACAGGCGCTGATAGAACATCTGTATAATCAGACCGAGGCCGTTAAATGGCAATGGGAGCGGGAAGCCGACAAATACATTCAGCGAATTCTTGACTTGGGAGAGACAGGCCGTCATGATGGCAAACAAGGAATCTGCCGACGCCAATGCGGTTGCCGCTGCCGTCGCGGCGGCCAGGATAGAAGGAGAGCAAATCGCGACAGTCATGGCGGAACGAGAAAACATGGCTTACAAGAAGAGCTCAAAAACGCCTGGCTGGAAGCAGCTACCACCCAAGCCGTAGCTGCGAAGATAACCAACCAGAACAATCGCTATCTGGAAGAGCTCAAATCGCATGAGGAAGCTAAATCTTCCCTCCAGCGCATAACTTCGAGCAATGCTAAATGCCCGCCGGCAAGCCGACTGGAACGAACATACACCAGTTGTCGACGGCTCAGTCGTCTGGCATAGTACCCGTCCCAACGCAATTTGATCAGGCGACCTTGACAAATGCGGGAGCATCGACCCTGCTGGTAGGAGGTGCAACGCATCCTCCTCCCGAGGAGAAGGGGGGCACATTCTCCGTGGATCAATTCTGTGCCGTTTGTTTTTCGTCTAAAGAAGGACAATTGCGTCGGATGTGGCAGGTCGGCGTGTGAAGAACATATCGATGCGAGCGCTAGAAGATGCTCTAGATGCGACCTGTGGAAGAGTGAAAGATCAGCTGCCAACATGCGAGAAGAAGAGATTGCTCCGAACGCAGCTAAAGCAGAGAAAGGAAAGATGAGGCTTAATAAGGCTATCATCACCGACCCGACTCCATATGCTGAAAATAAACGAGAAACTGGACTCGCATCGAATTCATTCGGATTTCCGTTGCTTTCGCAAGAAACTCCCGTGGGGCCGCTATTGCGTCAACACTTTACTATTCCAGGCCCTGCCCTCGAAGGTCCGGCGAAGCCGAGCGCCGCCGAGAATGGACTTCCTGTAGGGGTTCAACTAACTGGACCTAACGAAGATAATACTCCCGCCAGTTTCCGCCCATCCCATGGAGATGGTCCTACGGGAATGACGGCGACTAAGTCGTCGGGCGAAGCAGGACAGGGCGGAGAAGGAGACGACAAGAGCGACGCTCCTAACACTGAGATCGTATCTTCGCATGAAGGTGATCGTGGTAAAAGACCACGTGGGTCGCCTCCGGGAAGCCCAGGGGGTTCAGACCCCTCTTGATGGTGGGGGTGGACGCAGAGGGCCTCAGGGCCCCGGCGGACCGCGCGACTCGGTAGTAATTGACGAAAGCACGCCGTTGGATCAGTGGAGACAGGTTGGTAACAACCAGAAAATAGATTTGTTGGACATCCCTGATGTAACGAACGTTCGTGGGTGGAAAATGCGCGCAGCACGCGCCGTCGCTGGATCGTCGCCCGAGAGCCAGACAGCACAGCACTGGATTGCCGAGGCTATGGGTCCAGCTGTGGAGGATGAGCAACTCAAAGATGCAGGACGATTCCAGCGTCTTGACCTCATGATCGCAACGAATCTCATCGAGAAATTCAGCAAGATGCGAAATAATCGATATCAGCCTGGTCATCATTCTCATTCCTCCAACAAATTACTCGCGTGGAGTTCAGCGCCCAGAACGAGGGGGGACTCATGAC